TATATATAGAGGCCATACTATAGAATGATATTTTTAAACATATCCATAAATATATTATAATCACAAAAAACTAGCAAACTAAGGGGAAAAACAACACTTCATGAAGCTTCATCATTAATGTAAAGCCAAACTTCAAAAATAAAGACATGAAAATGAAAAAAAAAAAGTATAACATAACGCAATACTCACAATAAATATGAAACCCTAAACATAAACAATTGAATAATAACCTTTCAAAAACCAATAGTAGGCTTGAATCGGTCACTTTTGGTTGCCAAAAGCTCAATTTTTCAACCTCCTTAATTCCTAGAAAATTGGAATGTATTTCCATTTTGCAAGAAATCAAAACCTACAATTGTAATCCTTAAAAAAATTCATTTTGAACAGAAAAATTGATTTTTTTGAAGGAAAAATAGGGTTGTTTAGGGTTTTGGGGGGCCAAAATGCCCCCAAATACAATTTCCCCCCTTTCTAGGGGGGGAAAGGACATTTTTACCCATTTGATGAGGCCTATTTTCAGGCCTCACCAAAAGGGCCATGGATGCCGGAGCACCCGCCCAAGGCCACCATACCACACTGGGCCGAATAGTCCCAATGCGGGGCGGTGATGCCTTCCATCTTCTTGGGCAGCCAACATTTGAACATCAGCGGATAACATAGTGCCGTTAAGCTTGAGTATCTCTCTTTCTTTCCAAATGCTCCTTACTAGCAGAACGAAGAACAGCCTCCACCAAGTCCTCACTTTTTGGAGGACATGCTTCATCCCGTCTAGAGCTCCCTTACCGAGATGGGCATCGCCCAATTGATCCCAAAAAGTTCCACAAAAAACATCCCAAAGCATCCTAGTGAAGGGACAATGAATGGACATATAGTCTACCAAATCTGCAGGATCCAGGCATAAAACATATATTTGAAACTAGATTTATCGATCCAGGAGACGGTCAAATTTTAGGGCTATGCCAAGCATCACCAACCGACCAAAAGTGAGGGATCATGGGGTAGCCAGAACTCACCAAATTGAGCATGCAATGGAATCATTAACACTGCAATCGCAAACAATAATAATGAAAAAGAAGTTAAATTAAGTTGGTCAATGAGCACGAGGACCAGACAATCTTGTCTCCTCTGTAAGATGCGAAGAAATCTGATTCCAACTCCAAGAGAAGCAAACAGAAAGGCTCCCAACTCCTTATCCCAAAGACTCCTCTCCTTTCCACTCACACGAAGCAGTCCGGAACCTTTACTTGGGAGCCAAGGGCAATTGCCATTACAGTACAAAAATGAGTTTCTTGATGCTGGATCGCACCCCAGAGATCAGCTATAATCTAACTCTACTCCCCTCGACCACCCTAAACCTAATGCACTTATGAAAGTAATCAATGACCGACCAAATTACCTTCCACGCTCCAGACTCTCTATAAAATCAATCCAAATTCCTAACTGCACACCCTCCTCCATCCCTCCCATACTTTGAACTGCCGCCTTTGTTGCAATCTGAGAAATCTCTTTCCCCAACAAAGCCTTAGTCATTAGTCATCAGAGCCTTTTTCCAACTATTTGGGCCATTCATTTTATTAAAAAGGAATCACAGCTCTCCTGTCAAAAAAAGAATCCCCAATAATAAGGACAAGCATTTATATCTCTCCCACAAGAAAAGGAAACCATACATTTTTCTCTTTCCTTTCTTTAAATGTAACCTACATTTAGCCTTTTAATCTGAATCTCCTAAAGCCAATAACATGTCAATGAGTCTATACTATGTCATTAATCGTGGCAAATATGTTTGGTCCTTATGACGTCAAAGTGAATCACGGCCTTTGGTTTTCTTTTTCTTTAAAAGGAATCAGAACTCTCCAAAAAAAAAAGGAGACCTCCTAGTAAATAAGAAGAGGAATTTATCTCAGATCCATTTTTTTCTCTCCTCTGAGTCCTTCTCTAGTTGTAATCCTAAATTTAGCTTTCCATCCATATCTCCCAAGTCCCCATTTGGACATCCTGATCGCCATATCCAAGCTTAACTTTAGTTGCCTTTACAAGCTATCTTGAAAATAGGCTCACTTCAACGGTCATAATCAAGTGGAAAAAAATCCAAGTTTTTAAAGTTGGTGATAGCAGAGGTTTCTTTTTCTTTTATCCTTTAGGCCAAAATGGGGCCTATCAGATGCATGTTCTCAATATGAGAAGGGTTCAATTCCTTATTTTGCACCAAGGATAGTGGCATGCCATCCACTCAGGTGCAAGAATAAGGCATTTTTTTCCTACAGCTGAAAAGGTTGACGTCCAATCAGGGTCTAAGACTAAAAGCTGAAGGGCCTAGGTCTAAGCTGAATCTATACCCCCACCCTACCTCGCTTCTTCCCTCGTATAAAAATGCAAATGAAGAGATACAAAATTACAAACAATAATACCATATATCTGAAGGAGATATGCCTAAACTTAAGGTATATGATGTACCAAAAATACATTGTAACCACCATAGAGATAAATGACATACCTCTAACTAAAAACAACATGATATGCATCACATTTACTGAATGTGCTGTAATGCATGTACAGCTTTTAAGAGATGGTCAAATTGCTCAATTTAAAGAAATATAAAAGGAATCATTTGTAACCAGCTCCCATTACATTATCTCAAGCACAAAAGGAAAATACAGGTATGTTCATCCATAGCCACCATGGTCCAAGAAGTGCCAAAAGTTTATTCAATATGTTTCCGAAATAAACCATTACTAGAATATCAAAAGAAAATGCAAGCAAGAAACATAATCGTGACCAATGAATGAAAATGCAGCCGCCTAGGCGGCCTATTTTCAAAAACACTTAGTTGTGGGCAAGGCAGCAATGCTCTAGGCAGGTCCATCTAGGCACCTGCCTAGACGGCGTAACGCCTAATGGTGGAAAATGTCACTCGGGCAATGTCTAAAATTGTCATTTTACCCCCTTGAAAGGGGGGAAAGGGCTTTGTGGGCCATTCTTGCCCCCAAAAATATTTTTAATGAAGTTTAGAATGAGAAAAAACTTGAAAAAGAAAGATTTGAAGATTTGGAGAGAGATCAAAAAAATTTTCGACCTCCTCGAATGGTCATGAAATTAAAGTATATTCATTCCCATATTTTTTTTAGGCTTAATAGTGGTTATAAAAGAGGAGATTTGGGAACCCAAACATTTCAGTTTAGCACGATATCGATTCCACTTCAAGAAGGTTGGTATATTTCAATAATTTTTATTAGGTTATGTATTTTTTATTTCCGCAATGTCTAATGATGTTATTCTTTGCCATTTGTATTTTTTTTTGTCATACTTTGTCATATATATTTGATATGTTATTGTCTATTTAGATTATTATTTTCCCATTTTGATATATAGTTTGGGTTTTTGGGAAAACAATTCAATAAAAAAGTCCATTGCCCCGAATGAATATTGTTTTTTACTTCTTTTTTTTAGTTTCATACACGAATTTACTTGTATGATTCATAAACCATAACTTTTCTCCCCATAATTTTTTTTATTAGTTAGTTTAACAATTACTTAATGCTACTTATTAAATAATTGCATGTGCAATATGTTTTTTCGATTTTGTGTTATATCATTGCAATTTTGATGTGTTTATTTTTTGGCTGGCTTAATAAGAACTTAATATATTAAAGGGTCGATGTAACTATTATTTTGTGATTTGCATAACTTATTTTTTGACTTGTGATTTGCGAGATTTAAAGGACATCTCGAGTTGATTTTATCTTCTAATGTTGCTTTTGAGTTTTAATTATTTCAGTTACAGGCTAAAATCGTAAATGTTTATGTTTGATACGTACTTCTGACTTCTTAACAATATATAAAGTACAAAACTTATTAAATAAAGAAAAGATAAATTCTACATACAATAAAATGGGGGGAGGTGTGGGGGGTCCAACATTAAAAAAAAAAGTCAACACAAGTCGCATTTGTGTCTGGGCGGCCGCCTTAGCGCCTAGGCAACCACAGGCAGCCACCTGGGCGTTTTTTAACCTTGATCATGACAATGATTTTCAGATTTGAAAGTTATCTAATTTCCAAAACAGTAGGCATGAAAAGAAGATAACAGTACTAGATAAAGATAGGAAGGATATAAAAAGGAAAGCTGCAGACTCACATGCCCCTTTAAGATGAAAATTAGCTTTGTTTTCTGCCTCATCTGTTGTAGTCCAATTCTTCTTAAGGTGACAGAATCACGGAGTTCTGAAGTTGTCAGCCATGCATTATATAAGAGTTTCTGTAAAAACAAAACGAACATTTAAAAGACAAAACAACCACTTCTCAACAACTGAAAAAAAACAATTCGGAAACTGGCCAGAGAAATTTAAGATGCACAAGCAGTGTGATATTTATATGGCAGTCCTTGAATACACACATCCGAGAGAGAGAGATCTAGGAATGTGCTCTCAACAAGCTCGAATAGCTTACAACCAGTGACTCGAATTGTATATTATGGATGATTCATTGTACAATTAAGCTATTAATTTTGTCAGCATGCTTTCAAGGTCTTACTTGATAATGTTCGACAGCAGAGCAAAGTATAAAATATAGAAGTCCTCTAATTATGCTGATAAGATCAAATATCCTACCAACCATTTGCCTCTTATGAGTTTTTTCATCTGAACAATGACCATGCTTATATCCATAAAATCGAACCCGTAGCTTGGGGGCAACAGAATTTAGTGCCTCGGAAATGTTAGAAAAAATTTGTAAACTTTTCTGCATATAGTTATTCAAATTGTTTATCCATCGAAACAATGAAACATTAAAAAATAAAGCTAGTCTCACTAAAAAGTAAAGCTAGTCTCACCTAGAAAGTCTCTTCTCCTAAGTACTTGAGAAACCTAATAATCTCCAGTCAAGAATCTATCGAGCTCTTGTTCTTTTCTTTCAGAACTTATCGACATAAGATTCATGAATTTCGTCTGCTTGTCTATTCCCTCCCTTGAATGGATCTTCGTGGAAGCAGGTTTTCTCCATTACACAGGAATGCACACAGACACGTATGCATAGACATGAGAGTATTCTCCTTGTTGCTCTCATAGTTGTTGGGATCCAGAGCGAGAGTGGGGGACCATTAAATGCTAGAAGATCCCGAATTTTTGGAGATCAAGATCCCGACCTTTTGGGGATCTTGATCCCGACTTTTAGGAATCTTGATCCCAAACTTTTGCGGATCTTGCTCCCAACCTTGAAGAGAATGTAGAGTTTAGGACTATATAAACTCTTTAAAATAGGGACCTCTATTTATAATCAGTAAGCAACAATTATATTCGAAGTATAGTATTGTTGCTTGCTGCCTATAAATTAAGAAAATCATTAATCTGGTAGTTATGTTAGTCTTGAAGTTGGAACCGAGAACCTAACAGTAGGAATCAAGATCCCTAAAAGTGGGGATCGAGATCCCAAAGTTTAAAAACAGAGATCCCTTGAAGATCCTTTTCTCGGAATGTTGGAGTGAGATTCTAGAGCAGAATTGCCACCTATGTGGAAGAGCCTTGACTTTATGGGAATATCCAATGAAGATATCTTCCCACCTATTCCTAGACTGGACCAGGGAGTCAGCTAAGTCATTCGTTGTCCTAGGGATGTGCTGGAAGGTCACTGTTTTCCAAAAAAGTATATACCATACTTCATGATGTCAGCAAAGCAAAGTACATTTAGAGTGTTTTATTGCCCAAAAGAGATTGGTCTAAAATTTTAAGGCCAATGAGAAGTACAATCACTTCTGGGATGTTCACATCACCCTAGCCTATTGGACCTGGGAACTCTATTTTGGGGATGCCCAAGTGTTCTCTGATCGCTAGCCCAATCCCAGATGGGCCAGGGTTTCCCAATCAGCTTCCATCAAAGTTTAATCTAAATGTGCAAATGGGGATTTATCCATGAAGTACGTTTAGATGTCTCCAGTACTCAACTTTGGCAACCACCTTCCCCTCCCAAATCAAATCTTGAGCCTGGAAATAATGGAACTCCTTTCTCACCAGACCGAACATAAGAAGGTTCCCTATCCTTCCACCTAATCATTCCTGAATGTTTCCACAAAATACTCATTTGTTTATTGATTTCTTCCTGGTCAAATGGCCCAAAAAATAGCTACAGTGCTGAGTAGCCAATGTGTTTCACCTATATGAGAGAAGAGGCAGAATCTCCAATTAGATATGACTTCAACCACCAAAGATGGAAAGACCAATCAGGCCCCGAAAGACATGGAATCTGATCCTACATTACCAAGCAAAGGAGCAATGGATCAACAGATGCTTAAATGATTCTCTGGCTTTCCAACATATGAAGTATATGTTTTCAATTTCCACTCCTCTATGGTGAAGTTGGTCCCAGTTTAGAACCTTCTTAAGTAACACAAGCCAGCAAAACCATAGGAGTCAGGTGGGGCAGCAAACTCAGTACCAAACGGCCTTTGGAATGTGCCATTGTGGTCTGTGAGAGGAACATGATTTGTACTCCCTGGATCGCGTTTCCGGATGGGTTTATCATCCCCATGCCTAGACATACAAGTCGTACGGAGGCATTCTACACAGATCCTCAATCTCTTGCTCATCCAGACTCCATGCAACTATTCCATATCGTCTGTCATAGCAATCATGTACTTGCCTCTCCTGATCTAAGGCTACTTCAGCAAGTCTGGGGGAATCTTTTGTTGCTGAAGCATCACCGTCAAGTACCACGTTCATGCAAGTAAGTCATCCATGTGAAGTAGAACAATAGATCTAGGCCAGTCCACCTCGGGCTATCATTTAGAACAACTCTGTCTAGTATATGTATAATTGAAATAAAACAAAACACATATATAAGGAATTGAAGGATACATGGATACAAAGGAATGCCAATCAAGATACTATAGTTTATATACATCGAATCAGGTGACAAATAGATAAAAATATGAAACTCACTTATGCCACCTTACTCATGGCATCTTCTGAATTATTAATATTCTTCTTTTTTTTTGGGTAATTTATTAATATTATTTCCACTACCATACAAATGCCAATCGAATTGATGGATTCCTTCTTTTATGCTGAAGACAAAGATGGAGAAATTTGCATGCATATAGAGAAGGTGATAATTAGACAGACATCCTTGCAAAGAAAGTCATTGGCAAAGATGATATTCAAGAAGGCCTTATGCTAAATATTGATGTTTTATTTTCTGACCACTTTATTTGTTAGTCTTATTTGACCATTGCAATTATTCATTTTTATGAGGGGTCCACCAAAACTCATCCATTCACTCAAATCTTGTAGAAGTATGTATATAATTATATCACCATGAGGATGCATCCAATGAATTACCTTATTTATGTTTTCCTAATTTGCCTGTTATCAAATTGTCAAAGTTTATCTATTATTGAGACTATTCTCCTGAAATGGAAAAGAAGAAGTGAAGCAAGAACTTTAGGGAGCTCAAGCCTGCGAGCCTCACCTTGTCACCAGGCGACTCATAAAAAACAATATAACACTAAAACCTCAACTCCCCTTGGGCAAACTGCTTTCACATCACTCATAGCAACCTTAGTAACTTCATATAGTACTATCTCTGCTACAGTCACTACAGCATCCAATCCAATTGCCCACTGATAAAAAAACATATCAAACAAATATTCATATATCCATGTCTGGTGAACTCAGGAATAACTAAATTCTAATTTCTGTAAACTTTGATCTATAGTTGACCACTAAAATTAAGGAACCGTTAGTGGGCTTCACATACTTGCCATGCTCAGACTACAGCAACGTCAGAGAAAACACGAGGTAGAGCCTAGGAGGCCAGTCACTATCAACCAATTTTAAAACTTTCACATAGAGCAGAAATACTTTCATTGAGTACACTACAGTCTCCAAAAGTCTTAGAGACAAGACTATATCACATGCCTTCTTTCCTTTAACACACCTGGACCACTTGCATCTAGACCACTATTATGAAGTGAACACTAATCTCAATTAGGTTTTCTTCTCCGATCTACTATGTAGACTTAAAGAAGTGGCAAATCTCGTTACCCAGGGCATCGTTAAATCCCTCTTCTCAACGAACTTTTGCATCATGCTAATGGTAAGGGCGATGTTCCAAGAAATGGCCCGCCAAGCACCTAGGCGACTGCCTAAGCACCCAAGGGGCCCAAGCTGTGTCGCCTACACTTGGGCACCCATTTTAGACGTAAGTTCCAGGCCATCCGCCGAGAGATGCTAGGCGGGCACCCAAGTTCCACCATTGACATGAGGGGAATTTGATTTTGGTAGGGCATTTTGGGTCATCTTGATCCATAGAAACAGGCAAAAAGAGAACGGGTGGTGGTAGTATTATAAAACCCACCCCTCCCCATCACCCCGAAAAAACAAAAAGGTGAAATAAAGCCCGAGAAAATTTGGAAATAAATCCATTTTGGGGTTCTTTTTGTTTTTTTCCAAAACAAGAAAATTTCGAAAACTTTGAAGAAACATCCAAAACCTTATCGTATTTTAATATTTATGTTAATACTTAAATTCAACAACTTACGTTTAAAATGTAGTGTGCATTAGATTTATGAATCATTACAAATCACAATTTTGAGTTTGTGAGTTAGTTGCTCAAAATTTTCAATGATATGTACATGCTTGAACATTCATGCACATATATTTGCAAAAAAAAGTTCGAATACATATAAATGCATAAATATACATAATTGACAGACACACACACA